CTGGAGCGGGCTGGGGATGCTGGAGCGGGCTGGGGATACTGGAGCAGGCTGGGGATGCTGGAGCAGGCTGGGGATACTGGTCCCCACGGTGTGCGTGCTCGGGGCTGGGCAGCATCCCGTCCGGCCTGGACGTCAGCGGGGAGGGGAGGGGGAGCCCGGGCCGGCTCCGGCGCCGTTGCTGAGGCAGCAGGAGCCTCGGCAGCATCCCCGAGAGCCGGGCGGGCAAACTCCTCCCTCCCGCTCTCATCCCCGCTCTCCCTGCTTCCTCCGCAAAGATGGCAACCGAGGGGCTGCGCGAGAACGAGACCTTGGCATCGCTGAAGAGCGAGGCCGAGAGCCTGAAGGGGAAGCTGGAGGAGGAGCGGGCCAAGCTGCACGACGTGGAGCGTGAGTGGGGCCGGGCGCGGGGCGCGGGGGCCGCCGCGGGGCCGCGCCGCGGGACGGGCCTGGAGCGAGCGGGGAGCGCGGCCCCAGCGCCGGGACATCGCTCCCCCCGGGCAGGGGGCGGTGGGGCCGCTCGGGACGGGCAGGACCCCGCAGCATCCCCGGAGCACCGCGGCGGCCCGGCGCGGGCTGCGCTGCCCCCGGCGGGGGTGGGCGGCCGGCAGGGGCGGGGACCCTGAAATACCCTCGGTGCAGCCCGGGATGTGTCTGCAGCCGCTCGGTTGTGGTGTCAGGAACGAGGGTTAACCCCAGCCGCGTGGGAGTTGATAGGAATTTGCTTTGATGAGGCCGGGATTTCACCCGAGGTGTGGACGGGCTTAAAAAGGAGCATCGTTTCAAAACCCGGCTCCTCTGCCCCCCTTCCCCCAGGGAAACAACTTGCAGGGATGCAGTGCTGATTCAGAGGTGCGGGGTGAGTCAGTGCTGGAGCTGTCAATGCTGTAACTCACCGTTCTCAGCTGCAGCTTCAAGATCCAGGGATAACGTGACAGAAATTATATGACCTCAACTCTGCTCTCCCACCATCACCCTCCCTCCAAGTTCAGGAAAAATAAGCTAACCTTACTTTATGGAGCTCCTCCAGTAGGTATTAATTCACCTGTCCAGACAGATAAAAATCCTTTCATTTTCATACTTTCATTTTTATAATTACAATGATATAATCTATTGCATGTTTTTTGGGCATTTTGGGGTTTGTTTTTAGGAAAACATATAAATTACTGTTTTTCTCTGAAATCACACACCTTACTCTATTAGAAGTATTAGTGAGTTATTAAAACTTTTTTTTCACCTGTTTTGATGCCCTAAACATTGAAAAGGAATCTGAGCCTGTATCCAAAGATTTAGTTCTTCATGTTTTCTAAGAATGAGGGACTGACAAACATTTGTAAATTTAAGGTGAGGAAGGGTTAAAATGTTGGGGGTTTTTTTCTGGAGTAAATAGAGCATTTCTTGTCCAAATTAGACAATCATATGTTATATGAATGTCCTATTAATTGGAATTATTAAACAGAGGGAGATAGCCTCATTACAGAAACATTACCATAAATCACCATATTTCTACAGTATAATTTCTGTATCAGAACTAGCAGGGCCTCTGTTTAACACACCTCTTAAGAATATTCTTAAACCCATTTTTGCTCACACAGAGTTTTAACTGTGGTTGCAGTGATACCATAACTCTGTGTGCCATTGATAGTCATAGGATACTCATGTCTTTGTCATATGTAAAATCTGTAAACTTCCATTGGAAAGGTGTGTTTGCATAGCCATGACAGGATTTCTGAGACAGAAGTGTAATGCTGCTGTAGAACAATGCTCCCTCATGATATTTTATATTAATTCTGTATCAGAGCTTTTTTACACTTCAGTTATTCCCAAGTACTATTTCTGCAGAGCTTGTAAGTTTCAGAATAAAGCATCTTTTCTGAGTTTTGCTTAGTTGATTGGTTGTTTTTTTTCCCTAACCTAAAATTGTATCTTTCACATTTTTTTTGATTGTGACTTTCCCTATGTGGTTCCCAAAACAAACAGCTGGCTGAAATAGGATTGCCCTTATTTGTTCAACTGGTTTGGAGCATCAGCTCTCAAAAATGTGGACAGAAAAAGGAAATGCCAAACACACATTTGATTTGCAGTCTTGCAGTTTTAAGGATTCAATGCTATAGCTTAAAATTTTAGGCATAGAGAAAAGTTTGTTCTGTTTGTGGAATCCATAAATTTTTAAGGCCAGTCAGATCATTAGAACCAATTGACTTCCTGCACGGAAAAGATCAAAGACCCAATAGTACCTGCATCAAGTCCACACCTCCTGTTAAGGCCAAACAATATTTTTAAGAAAAATAGGCAGTTTTATCTGGACCTCTGTAAAACTACTCAAGCTACTTACTGGCTTTAGCTGATCTACTTGTCTGAGTGCATGATTTTCAACTATCTTGGAACAATATTGAAGAATGCTTAAAAATAATTATCTGACTCTCAAACCTGTGCTGGGCGGGAGCAGGATTATTATGGCTGTGGTTGGAGATAAGCGTCCTCAGAGAATCAGTGAGGCTAAACCAGACAATTTCACAGAGTCTCAGCTGCGTTGACATAATGGAAACGCTTTGTCCATTGTCTGTGCAACATTTGTTTTTTTCAGATATGTTCTGGACACAAGCATCTTTCCAGCTGCCATAATAACCTCCTGTCCTGTGTTTTCATGTCTTTTGATTGGATCATTTGGCAGGTTTCTATGGGCAATGATAGGGAGAATGTGTCTTTTCCTCAATGGGTTTATATGGTACTTTCTCAGAAATTGGCTTCTGACCTAGGGACAAGTTGTCAGGAGTGGTGGACAGCACCGTCCCCGGGCTCTGTGAGACTGGGTGAGCAGAGATTTCAGGTGAGAACATTATTCTGGCACAGCCTGTGGGGCTGGTGGCTTTGAAAGACAAAGGTAATCCACTAGAAATCAGTCTCTGCCTTAGGCAGAAATTGCTTCCCTGAGCCTGTGCCAGGGAATGGTCTGGAAGTTCAGGATGCCTGCTCTGTCACTGTCCAGCCCTTCCAGCCTGCCAGCTTTCCTGCAGCCCTAGAAAAGTGATGAAGGGTGAAGTGGCAATGGAGCTCCAGACCATCACCTGACATGGGGGATGTGGACCTCAGTCTCCAACTTGGCAGTGAAAAGCTTAAGATTTCCTGCACCAGCTCATTAAAGCACGTGAGCTTCAGCATTAATTTCAAAAGGTTTGAGTCAGGCATTGCCCCCATTGCCAACAGCAGCTGGACCATCTTGGGTTTCAGTGTGGACAAACACACAGAGGTGCTGGATCCTATTAGCTCTTCTCTAGACAGAGTAATTTCTGTTTCTGGTGCCCATCTCCTGCCTCAGGACCCCTGCTCTGCTATTAGACTTGAAGTAAATGTCACCCTCCTTCATGCTCTGTGTGAAGAGCTGCTACAGAGTGCCAAGATAATCATGGCCCTCCTCAGCTCCATGCTGGATGAACATGCTGGAGCAGAGCAAATAGGCTTCCTCAGATGTCACTTTGTCCCAGACATGTACAGAGAACCCCAGCATGAGGCATCAGGGTTACATGAAACACCTTTTAGCTGTGTCAGCTGCATGTCTGTGCAGCTTTATGTCAAAGTCAATTGGCACAAATGGAAATGCAATTTTTTTGTTTTATAAAAATATCAGCTGAAAGTACTGCTATTGTATGAGGTGTGAAAGAACTGATTTCTCCATCAGAGGATGCTACTCAGGAAAGCTGCTTGCCTGTCTTCTGTTTCTCTCTGTTGTAAAAGAAAAAGCTGATACATCCCATGAAGTCCTTGATGTCTGTAGATACTGTTGAAAAGTTGGGTAGTGCACTTATAGCAAATGCCAAGCTTCCTGCTCACTCAGAGCTGCGTCCTGGCCCTGGGGGCTCCCCTGGCCACCAGAAGGGTGGTTAGTACCTGTATCACACTCCATCACCACACAGTGCTGAGAGCCAACTGCAGCTGGGAGTCTCACACCCAGAACAACTGTTTTAGCGTAAAAAATCTGGAGACTTGATGCCTACCCCCTTCTTCTGTATGATTTTTCCTCTAAGACCCAGTAGTAGTCATCACTTCTGCTGAGTACTTTGAAGCATATGTTGCACTGGGGGCTGTCTGTCCACTTTCAGGCCTGAGGATTTCCCAGCAGGAGGGGGCAAAGGGATAATCTGTTTTTCAGTTATACTTAGGTGTGATGGTCTGCAAGGCCTTCAGCTGCTACATCCCTGGAATTTAAGCCCTGGGTGAATTCATCCTTATCTTTATCTGGTAAATATGTTCACATGCCGCCCACCTTGGTTTTACCACCTGCCACCTCTGAAGCAGAGTTCATTGCCTTGCACCATGGACTCAAACTTGGTGGATTAATTCCTCCAGGGGCATTGCTCCTAAACAGAGATTTGCCAGGGCAGAGCTTTGATGCAGGGCCCTCTAACCATCAGCTGTTTGCAGTTCATCAGGTGGCAGAGCGTGTGGAGGCACTGGGCCAGTTTGTAATGAAGACCAGGAGGACCCTGAAGGGCCATGGAAATAAAGTTCTCTGTATGGACTGGTGCAAAGACAAGAGAAGAATTGTGAGCTCTTCCCAGGTATGCTGTTGGGCAGATGTTCAAAGGTGCTGTTGGGCAGTATACAAATCTTCTGGCTGTGCTGTGTGCCACTCTTTGCACATCATACCTGTGTATAGTGTAAATGTTTTCAAGATGCCCTGAAAGAAGTTCATTAGCAATGTATTTGTTCAGAAAGCTTAAATCTAAGCTTCTGATCATTGCTAACCCTGCTGTAGTTAATACCCTAAATTGTTCTTGTCCAGTCATACACAGAGTTTCCCCATATTCCTTCCTATAATAGAAAATAGAACTCATATAAGGCCATTTTTATTTCCTCGTTCTTTGCAGATGAAATATGTAGTAAATTTTTCAGATTAGGTGTTTAGAGAAAATAAAGGGAAGAAATGCTGATTCTTTCAGAGATTTCTGTGCACAGAAATTTCTTCTGCAGTCTGTATGATTGATGTGACCTTGAAAGCCTCAAATATCCTGCCAAAATTACTGCATTTAGTTGGGCATTTTGAGAAACAGTCCTAACACCTGCTCAAGACCAGTCTCCTAAGCTGGAGGAGGTAATGAGATAATTACTTTCTAGATCCCCTGGTTCTTCCTGAGCCCAGTATGGCAGTGAGTGTGCTTGTTGCATCTCACAGCTGTTCATTGACCTACATGAAATCTGTCAGGGGTCTCACTTGAGGGATAAAAATAGGCAATCTGCATTGCAAGCCACCTTCAGTTACTATGAGTTTTTACCATTCATGGTGATCTCAGCAAAGAGAATAATTTTAAATAACTAATGTCACCTTTTTTTTAAAGTAGCTGAAATGTTAGTGTGTAGATCAGAAAGCTGAACAGGCAGGTTGAAATGCATTTTTTACTCTGTCTTAAGAACTGTATAAGTCCAGGTACAGCAGCAGTTGTTGCTCAGTAATAAACATTTAGCTTACAGGGAGGATAACAATATTATGTGCATAAGGCAAAGTAGCTGGCACAGGTGTAGCTGCCAAACCCAAAGTGATTGTGTTGCTCTCTGTAGAGGGTTCTTAGGATGGCTATTTAGCAGATTGCATCAATGGATAATAAAAGGTTATATAAGTGTAGTGAGAAGTAAAGGGAAAACCAGGAAAGGGAAGGGAAGATGAATAAACAGTGCAATGTCCATAAGTAGTCCCCATGAGTGCTGCCACCTAGTTAAGTGATTTGTGATATGGGTCACCTCTGTATTTGTAAGGTGCTGTAGTGAGCCACTGGCAGGTATCACTTGGGAGAGGTGGCCAGCTTTGCAGGTGGTACTTACAGGCTGGGAAAAACACATTGTGGCTTAAAGGAGGCAATTGAGGGCTCACTAGTAGCAGGTTCCTGAGGGGATGGTCCTGGTCGTGGCGTGTGCTGCAAGTGAAAGGAGTTCTCATGAACCCACTAAAAGGGAAGGGAAAAAAACAGGAAAAAATCGGTCTTTTAAGCCAACATGAGTCGTCTGGTGAGGAGGAGATGTGCTTTTCTTGTAGTAGATACAACTGGCACTGTTGAGGAGTGTCTCCTTGATGCTTCACTGTGACCATTGTGCTATTGTTAAGATGGCAACAAACATTTCAGGCCATAACAGGCTGGGGGATAGAAATGAGCAGCAGTGTTTTCCCCAAAGTGGGAAGCAGGCTTACTGCCATGTCTCTGTAAGGCCTCAGTTTCTCTCTCTCTGTGCTTTCCTTTAGGATGGGAAGGTGATCGTGTGGGATTCCTTCACCACCAACAAGGTAAGTGAAACTTCAGCAGAATTCAGATTTCTGTGCCCTGGGCAAATGACGGTGGAATGAGGTGAAGGGCCCACAGGTGTCACAGGAGAGTGGGATGATGGGATAAGATGCAGACCTCCACCAGCACCTAAAAAGAAGGAGCTGAGGGCAAGTCACCTGCCTTGACCTGTCTCTGAGCAAAGTCCCTCTCAGGGCACTGGGGTTTGTCATGGTCTCCATTGTGAGGCTCTGATCCAGCCTCTTCACTGACAAGGGAGGGCTCCTGGCTAGGGCAAAGCCCAGCCAGCAAAACAGAGGTCCTTCCTGAGTAACCATTGTGCCGTATGTCCTGTGTGATCACCTGGGATCCTTTGGCTGTGGTATTCACTGTGAAATGGTGCTGCTGCTCCTCCAAGCCCTGCCTGGCTGCCTTGTGGCACTGTGTGCCACACAGATGAGAAAAAACTGCATGCCTTTAACTCACTTAAAAGTGCAGCAATGGTGACCTTTTACAGCCCTGAATAACCCAAATAAAACATGCTCTGTGATCAGTTTGGTGCTGATGCATAAGGTGGAAAGTGTCAGAGAAGGACCAGCCATCCTCCCGCTGCTCTGCTGAGCTCTGCAGTAAGGGTTGTCCCAGCCTGACATGTGAGTTATGGCTGGGGGAAACACCTGTACCTTTCACTGACCCTAAGAATGTCTTACAGAAATACTGAACTCATTACTCTACGCTGTTTTCCTTGCAATGATTAGAGAAACAGTGACGTCGCAGTCTAAAGAGATGCTGTGTTTCAGGAACACGCGGTGACGATGCCGTGTACCTGGGTGATGGCATGTGCATATGCCCCATCTGGATGTGCCATTGCTTGTGGGTAAGTTCCCAGTTTCCACAGCTGCTTACACAGAGAAGTTTGATTTTTTCCTTGTGCTGTCCTGGTGCCTTCAGAAGCTGACAGATAGGAGTTTGCGTGCTGCGATTGTGGGTGGAAGGACTACACTCAGTGTCTCTGATTCTATTCCTATAATGGCTTGTACACATTATCTCCACTGACTTCAGTGCAATAACATTTGTTGTGTAAGCATGGAAAATAATCCTCTTTCAGCATTTATATCATGAGTTAGGAATTCTGCATGCGTGTTACTTCCCTGTTCCAGTGTGGTTGTCTGTGCTGGATATATATTCTAAGGGAAAGAGGTTTCAGTCCTGTTCTTACTTTACACTCATTCTTCTATGAGGTAGAGGTTTGTCACTAACAACTACCAGTATGTGACTAGATCTTGCTAAGATGGGGTGGGGAGGAGAAACCCCATCCTTGATAATCTTCTACAAGTTTTTCTTGGAAGGCTCAAGTTTGACAACATTGCGTTCATGCAGGGGGAAAAAACAAAGAGATGAAATGTTGGCAAAGCATCTTTTAAAAAGTGACTGGGTGGATCAGACAGACAAAGCAAGCTTGGGGCAAGAGAAAGGAACAAAGGGAGACTTCACTGTGTGGCCTGAAAATCTAGAAAGCAGCAGACTGAGACAGACAGGCAGACTCCATAATCATGTGTGGAGAGCAAGTCTGGAAACTGGGTTTTTGACTAAAACTTGAAGAATGGCAAGAAAACTCTGTCTTCACATATGTAAGGGAGAGAGGGAATACACATAGGCATTTATTGCACTACCTAATTCTATATTTCTGTTGTGCTGTCAGTTAAATGCTGTACATGTAATATAAGGCACAGAACCAGCAGCTGGTGGTGTGCCAGGATCCCAGGGACCAGGGCAGGGCTGATCTACCACGGCTCGAGGAAAGGATCAGAGCCTTTAGAAATAAGTCCTGTATCTGACACAGCTTAACTGGCAGAACTGTCCAGGAGGGACACACCAGCTACAGACGTCAGTGCTTCTGTTGCCTTTTTTCCAAACTCTTCTGAAAGGTCTGTCTTCACACCCTCCACTTGCTGTACCGTCTCTTCTGTAGTTAGATCAAATTTATTAAGATAGATCAATAATGATGCTTAAATACCGATCTTTGCAATGACATATGTCAGCAGAGAAATGGCAGTTTGGCTGTATGTGAAACGTTAACCCTGAGGTGACTGCTGTCACCTCCAAGTTTGCGCTTTCGTGAGGTTTCATTCAGTGGCATTTTATAAACTCGGTAAGGGTAAAAAATACTGAGGCGCAGCTGTTCAAGTTCTGTAAAGCAGCCAGCCTGGTGAGGCAGCTGGGGCTTCCCTGCACAGGGAGATCCCACACAGCACAATACAGGGAAGTCGGTACTTGTAAGCGTTTGGCAGCGCAGCACTGACAGGTGGTTTCCTTCTTATCACCACTCGCCTTTTGTCGTTGCAGTTTTAACCAGTTCTCCTCTCTCTGTTATTGCTATTATTACTCTCTTCAGTGGCCTGGACAACAAGTGTTCTGTGTACCCTCTGACATTTGAAAAAAATGAAAATATGGCTGCAAAGAAGAAATCGGTTGCAATGCACACAAACTACTTGTCTGCCTGCAGCTTCACTAACTCAGACATGCAGGTAAACGCATTCCCTTCCCGCTGCTCACCACCACCTGAGCTGCACTCGTACATGGTGCACATAATGTTCCTTGCTCCCAGAACCATATCCTGCTCCATGCAGGGGCTGCTGGAAGACCCTCTCAGGGGGCAGTGAAGGTACTGCAAAAGCTGCTGTAAGGGGATGCTCGTCACAGCCCGTGGCCAGGCTGCGCCCTGCAAAGGCCTGTTGCTTCTGCAGAGGGAGCTTGCTGGTACCTGTGCGTTCTCTGCTCACCTGATCTGTGCCAGTTTGTGCTTTCAGGGGCTCAGACTATTGCAAATAGTTAAAAACACTGTTTGCTTAGGACTAGGTTCTAAGGTACATACTACGCCAGCTGATAGAGGCTGTGTTGTTTGGCTCCTTTGTCCTGGACATCCGGACAACTTTGCTTTTGCTTTCATTCTTAGTATTTTTTATTTGTACCAGGTAATACATTTGGCCTCAAGGATGGCCCCACAGGGGCATCCCTGTTGTCTGTACGTGCAGTGGTGCGTTCCCTCGAGGGAAAGGAGTGATGCTGTCCCCATCTCGCTGCCGGTGGGGTGGAGCACAGAGGCCCACGGTGGGAGGCAATGGCAGAGCCAGGAACTAAATGCAGATCTTCTGAGACCAGTCCACTCTGTAGTGAATATCTCAAAGATCTCATTCTGCAGGAACAGGGAAGACGATGAAAGGAGCCAGGATAATCCCCTTGTCCTCTCTGATTTCTGAATTTAATTAGAGCTCTGCTCGGTGCAGCTCTGCAGCAAAACAAGTGGCAGAATGGAGCATTTTCATTGCTCTCGGTGTCAACAGAGCTGCTGGAAAGGGATTATCGTGTTCCCTTCTTCCAGATATTTGGAGCTCTTCTGAAGGAAATATCAGTTCTCATTGCTTCTATTTCAGGACGTGAAGCCCGAGAGTATGTTGTTGTTTGTCGCTCTCTGGTTTCTGTAATGACTCTGAGGTGCTAATTTAAGTCCATTGCCATGGAAACAAGTGGTGGAGGTACCCAGTGCTCAGACTTGCTTAGCCCTGACCTTACTGTGTAGGAACCCTGCTGAATTAGAGCAGTCTAAATTAAGTGGAATGTTTTTGATGAGACATAAAACCAGTTTCCTCTTTTCTTCTCCATACCTAAATGCATTGTGCTTAAATCCTATGATAGAAAAATAGAAATTTATTTTTTCATAGTAGGAAAGAAAGGTTAGGTATTTTTTCTTCATATTAAATACAGCAAACTGCATTGATATTGAAGGTAATGTACAACTATTGTTAGATAATACCACAGTGGATTAAAGTGTTTTATATTTAGTGATTCAGAGATTTTTCTGAAGTCTTTAAAAAGAAATTTTCTTATAATTGCTAGGCTTATAAATGATCATTTATGGCACTGCATGTTATTATTGAAACAAATGCAAGCAAGTGGGTTGACCAAGCTTCTATTAGGACACTGTTATGTAGGAGATCCTAGAGAATACCAGATTTCTTATCTTTTTCCACTTACATAAAGGCCTCAGAATTCAAACTGTTCAGGAGCCCTGAGGGTGCACAGTGCAACAAGGACACGGTGCAGGAGCTTTCCCAGCTATGTGCAGAGCAGTTCTCACCCCAGCTCCCCCTGCTAGGTGGTGTCAGGGCTGCTGCTCTGCCTTGACTGCTTTCTTCAACTACAGCTCTGTTTTCCCTCAAAGGAATGAAACACTGGGTTGGAGTTTAGGGATTGATGTGCCCATGGGCATCTGGCAGTGCAAGGGAGAGAGAGGAGATTTAGGGGTGGTTCATCATTGATTAAAGCCACTCTCAGGCTGTGTGGGTGCTGAAAGAAGGGGTCCCACCCTTACTCCTCATCATGTTCCCACCTGGGCCAAGACAAGTGCTGAAGTGCAGAGCTGGGTGACCCACACACTTTGTTCTCAGTGCCCCAAATCAGTCTTGCTTGAGAGAGCCTCCCCCACCTCAGTGAGCAGAACCAGGGAGCCTCGCTTCCTAAATTAGGTATCTGCAGCTCTGCAGTGTGATAATGCTCCCCACGTGACAATGCTCCCTGTGTATTAATAGCAACAGTTAATTGGGATCTCAAGTGTTTTGCATAGGGCAGGCAGCCATGCTCCAGTGTGGCAGGGCTGAGGAGCAGGATGACGCCCGCGGTGGTGGAGGAGGTGAAGGTGGCCCCTCTCCTCTCTCCGCTGTTCCCAACCCCGGTTCCTGTGCTCCCAGTGAGCAGGGGCTGTGTCCCTGCTGTCCCCTGCCCTGTGCAAGTGCTGCCTCTTGCTGCCAAGCAAGGCAGGATCCCCATCCAGTGCTGTAGGAGCCCCTAGTGCAGCAAGCCAGAGTCCAACAGCAAAGATTGTTGATTCCATTCTGGTTTTAGATTTTCAGAGTTGGTTTGGTTTTCAATAGCAATACCCTGAAGTTGAGTCCATAACCTTTTTCTTTAAGTATTAGCTGAAGCTCTGGGTTGCCAACAGACCCTTCCCTTACACCTTTAGCTACTCCTATTCCCCTCGTGTCTTTCTTACACAGTATTGCAAGAACAAATCCTCCGAGCTGAAAGGCTTCATTCCTCAGCCAAGTACAAATATTTCTCAGAATAGAGAAGTTCATTGATCCAGGCTCAAAAGCTGGCCAGAAAGACAAGTCAGGAATTTCTTCTGCTATCATCATCTGAGAGCATTAGCGTCTCTCTGCTGCAGGATTCAGAACAGTCTGTTCTGCAGCTTTGCAGACCTCTGTTTACGGGAAGAGTTTTTGGAGCATCTGTCAAACATGTTTAGTGTTTAACCTTTATGCAGCTCTGTGAATGGGTTCGTGACTGCGTGATCATTTTCTTCTTGAAGAGTATTTTGTTTTTAACTTCTGACTACCCGCTGGGATCCCTTGAATTTCCTCACCAACCATGAGAAAAACCTGTGTACAAAAGCGAGAGCCCTCCTTCGCTCACCCTTGCCTCCTTCCTCACCAGTGCACAGGAACCCTGTCAACCTACAAAATTTGTGATTGCATAACAGCTTCGGGTGCCAAGGGGAAATTTTGAACAATTGAGCATCATCAGGATTTAGTCACAATAACAAGCTCTGATCACATGCACTTTCTACAAGCACTGTAGCAGATGGGAAGCTGTGGGCTGTGTTCGGTCAGTGTCTGTTCAAGCCCTTTCACACACAAATGGTTTTGGACAAGTGAGAGCTGATGGACTTATCAAACAACTGTCTAGACAGGCTTACAGCCCTTTCAGAAAATCCATGTCTTAAGCCAAAATAATTGGGTTTAACCTGACTATTTCAAGCAGAAAAACCCAATAAATTAGAGAGTTAAACAGGTAAACTTAGCTCCAACAATTCTTCCCTTTGCCTAGGTTGAATTCCAGCAGCCTATATATGGATAGGGTTAAATACAGGGGCAGACAGGAATGCCAGTATGGTTCTACCTTCTTTTTGGAGAATAAGGAAATGCCAGCAGGTCCTTAGTGCCATCAGTTCTGCAAACCCCACTGCACAAAAGGGGCCATTGTAGAAACATTGTGTAGGTATAGTGGTGTTAATACAGCTCTCCTTTCCACTCTTAACTTCTTTCCTTAAAACTAAAAGCTATGAAAAGTACTTAGGTTCACAGTGGGTTTATGGCTTTGATATTTCATTAACTTGAAGCTGTCCTTTGGTGTATGTGTAGGATGTCAGTTGTTTCTTTGTAACTGTTGATTTTTGTATTGTGATTCTTCTCACATCCTATAGATCCTGACAGCAAGTGGAGATGGAACTTGCGCTCTATGGGATGTTGAGAGTGGGCAGCTTCTACAGAGTTTCCATGGTCATGGAGCTGATGTCCTGTGCCTGGACCTGGCCCCTTCTGAAACAGGAAATACATTTGTCTCTGGGGTAAGCAGGAGCTTCTTTTCATAATATAAAATTAAGGAATATGGAAATGAAAAGGCAGCAAAGCGGGAGGCTTCTAATCTTAGTGAGTGAGTGCTGGAGTATATGTTGGATGCCCCAGTGCAATCCACTCATTGCAGGCACATTTTCCAAGCTGGAGCAAATTAAACCCCTGACAGTGGGGTCAAACCCACCCAGCCAGTCTGACTGCAGTTCTGCTTACTTAGCAAGTTCCACCCCACACCAAAGCAATCCAGCTCAAGATCAAAACAACGCCTCTCCAGGGAAGGGAAAGGCTCAGAGTTAGGGCAGTGGGCTCCTGCCACAGCAGAGGTGTGAATCCCTGTGGATTGGAGCCGGGAACAGCAGAGGACTTCCCACACGTTGCTCCTTTCTTGTGCCCAGCTCTCTGGAGTGAGATGGGGTGTGACAGGCATCAGGTCGTGCTCAGGGCATCAAAGTGGGGCTGCAAACGACGTGCATGTCACTGTGTCCCTCAACCACTCCCCAGAAGTCATGGGGTAGCTTGGGCACTGGCTAAACCTTCCTGCATGTTGGAGCAGGGACATGAGGTGTGGCCACATCTTCAGCTGTTGCTGAGTCCTCTGTGCCTTCCAGCGGTACCAGAGGCATTTAAAACCCCTTTATCAGTCAAAAACTGCCCGCTCCCTGTCCTGGCCCAGAGGAACACACAAGCCTCACTGGGACCGCAGGACTGGACTGGTCTGGGAAAGTACCCAGGGCATCTTCCAAGTCTTATCATGCTTCCGAGGGGTTGCTGTTCCCAGGCAGCTGAGCCATTGGCACACAGCCTGGCAGTGAGGCAGGCAAGGCATAAAGGTGAGTGAAATGGGGCTCTGCTCCTTTTCAAGGTGATCCTGGTCTTTCCCACATTAGAGACCGAGTGTGCAGGTGAGAGCTGGCAGCAGCTGAGAGATGACCTCTCTTGCTGGAGGCAGGTTGCTACCAGTAACTTTGCTGAAGGTACCTGGTTTCTGAGCCCCACAAGCACTGGCCCGGGGCCGATCCTGTGCTTGATGTGGAAATGGCCCTTGTGCCAGAGGGTGCCGAACATGGATTAAGGGTGCTTGGAGTCATGGTCCCATCCCTGCACGATAAACCTGGATCTCTTCTGTTATGGCTGTTTTATCAGATTTGGCTGGCCCATCAGGAGCAGGGTCCAGCACACTGGCCCAGTTTGCCTGCTGCTAGCACAGCTGCTCTGAAGCGTGACTGAAAGCTAATTCCATCCAAGTGCATTACTTCTCTCGGGTTTTCCTGTCACCGAGTTTGCTTCCCAGAAAGGATAGATTCATTCTCCCTGGGAACAGCTCAGCTTATTATAGGGCAAAGAATCACAAGCAGCTATGGTACTGCTAAGAGAATATGTCATACTGGTGTTGATACAGCAGCTTGGGTATGTCTGTGCTTACAGGCACTCAATTCATCAGATGCAAAACACCACTTCAGATCTGTCTTGCATCGTGTCAATGCAGGTATAGGCAGAACAGTGCAACCTGAAGGTGTGGCAGCATGGAGAGACTCTCAGTATGCTGTGCCTCCTCAACACAGTAACCTTGAGCTGGAATAAGCAATGTCAGTCCATCAGCATAGAGGCTGGGTGATGTTACATTTAACGATTTAACTCCAAATTCCAGCCCTCCTGGGTGAGCTCAGGGCTGTGTCCCAGGCTGTTGTGCTCCGTGCCCTCTGAGCTCTGCTCCTTGGGCTGAGATGGATATCACTCAGGGGGCCCATCTCTCCACAGGTGGTTGCTGGTTTCTCCTTCAAAACCTTAGGAGTCAAAGAACCAGCTTGTCAGATTGGTCTTGTCCCCAACCTCCCAGAGAGGTCAGTAAGAACAGTGCACATGGAAGTGATATGAAGGGCTGGGCTTGGGCTGCGATGGGGCATGAGAGGGAAATATGCTGAGTCCAAAATATTCTCTATCCTGTTCAGTTTCCCCAAAACTAAACCAAACCACAAGTTGGTGCAAAGGAACATGAATCATGATATCATTAGTAAAAACACTGGGGTTTCATTTTAACACTGGGGTTTCATTTAAAAAAAAAAAAAGATGAATTGTAAAGAGACTTTAATTTAATTAGCAATCATGTTTGATTAAAATAAACAACATGTGTGGCATGGTCTGCTGGGCAGGGCACTCTGGCTCAGCACAAGCAGCAGCCACCTGGTCTGCCCTGTGCTTCCCACACAGCCCCCGAGAGGCCGACCCCCCAGAGCTGAGCCTTGCCCACTGCCTGCCCCTCAGAAGGGGCAGATTTATTAAAATCTTCTGTCACTCTTAAAAGAAAAGACCGTGTTCTTCTTCCTGTCACTGTGACTGTGGCAGCAGTGAGACACTGCTGCTGAGAGCATGAGCCTACAGGTATGAGATGGTTCCTGCCCCAAGGACATTGCAGACGAGATGGGCGAGGCCCTTGCCCAAAGCATTCAGGGTGGTGAGCACTGAGTGTTAAATGATCTTTTCAAAGCGAGGTTTGGAAGGGCAGATTAGAGCTTGGTGAAGATGAAGTGCTGCTATGCTGCTTTTCTCATGCCAACCACACCATCAAGCCTGAGGGTGCAGAGCCCTGACAGGGGTTAACTCTGGTAGGAGGCTGGGCAAGAGCCCCTCCGGATGCACCTATTTCATTTTCTGTTTCAGTGTATGAAAAGAATTAGTTATAAAACTTTGAATGCTGGGTATTAATTTTTTATATTGGGCATGTTAAGTGGTAAGGGAAAGAGTGAGTTACGCAGCTCTGTGGCGTGGTGGGGCTGCAGGCACAGGCAGGGCAGCAGCATGAACAAAGCAGGGCTGTGAGTGCTGGTCAGTGTGGGGCTGCCTGTGCAGACAACCCAGTGCTATCTGCACCCCACTGTCCTGAGGCTTCAGCCTTCATGATGTCCTCTTCTTCTGCACCAGCTGGGGGTACCAGTGCAGGCAGCTCTGGGGCTGCTTTGCTGGTTAAATCCCCTCAGAGCTGTGATGTTCGGAGCCTTTAAAAGTAGCTGGGCTTGATGACAAATGTCAGGTACATGAGGGGTGAATGTCACCATTTGCTCTACTGTAGTGATTTTTGTTGTCTTTTTTTTTTGTCTTACTAGGGATGTGACAAGAAAGCCATGGTTTGGGACATGCGGTCTGGTCAGTGCATCCAGTCGTTTGAAACCCACGATTCAGATATCAACAGTGTCAGGTCAGTTTGTTTCTGGGAGAGGACACATTTGCAATGTTGAGCAATGTTCTGGTTCTATTTTTGAAGTCTGACCTCATCCAAGTAATGTAATGTGTTCTGGTCTTCTTTTACTTGTGCACAGATATTATCCAAGTGGAGATGCCTTTGCCTCTGGTTCAGACGATGCCACGGTATGTTAATTCAGCAACCAAATTTAGGGAAATTCTGTTACTTCCCAAGTCAGATTTTCCTAGATTAGGTCACAACCACAGAGGACTTTTAGTGACTAAACTGGGCCTGTGACACCATGGTTGCAGAAATAATAATTCCTATAAGATATTAAATACTATATATGCTATAGGGAAAATCTAGTAACACTGTAGGTGACTTCTGCGAAGTTGTCTACATGAGGTACTGTCCAAATATTCATTTCAGATTTTCTGTGTTTGAAGTTTCATGACCAAAAATAGTTGTCTTACCGGAAGATATTTGACTTTGTGTAACTGTTGGTCACAGCATGGGAGGAACCAGCTGAAGCTTGTGTTAGGAGAAGCAGCTTGTCCCAGCAAGCAGAGGGGCTGTGGGCTCAGCACAGAGCAGGGCAGATGTGGGCAGTTGGCTCTGCAGCCCCAGGGTGGCCTTGATCACATTCATCTCCTCCCTGTCGGTCTGACTCACTGCCAACACTCTTCACTGCAGTGAGTCACTGCATCCAGGTCGTTCTAGATCACACAGTAGCTCTTAATGGATCCTAGTTATCTGTGAGCAATCTGCTAGGAGGGGCACAGAATGTATTGACAGGCAAATTGGGTCAGCACAATGTAAGCAAAATGACATTTACCTGGTGCCCTCCACCCTGAGTGAGGCACAGGGCCGTGGCTCTCCCTGCAGCTGATGGGTCCCCATGGGGGACCAGGCTCTGCCCCCACCACAGCCCTGCAGGGACTGAGCCGGCAGTGAAGTGCAACTTGAGAGCAGATGTTTGGGAAGCACTTGGCACCTTTTTTCTTCTGTTTATTCAAACATCACACTGAGTTGGGTGAGGGTGAAGACTTTATCTAAAGTACTCTGCCCTCAGAGCATGTTTTGAGTTTGCTCCAATACTAGCTAAACTCAACAGAAACATTCCTTTTGTCTTCATTGGTTGTGGAGAACTTCCAGGGCTCTTCTGGAGAGAGTGTACCCTGCTTTTAGGTCTTAAAAACTGCAATTGTAAATTAATATCTGTGGTGAGCCCAGCTTTCTGCACACTTGGATGTGGTACTGTGAGCTCTTGAGATGCTGCGAGTGTGATAGGGAGAAATTGTCCATCATTAAATTCTGATGAGAGCACTTTCTTTTTATGCCCAGTATCACAAGCTCTTATGCCCAGTATCACAGGCTCTTACTAGTTTATTTGATGGGGTTTTTCTTTCTTAACTATTCCTGACACCCCTGACTTAAGCAAGAGAATGGGAAATTCCACCTCTGTACTTCTGACAGAGGTTTTGGCAGTTTCCTTATACCTCATTCTTCAAATTAAGAGGTTGGTGTTTTCAGTGTTACAGACTGGTATCCTTGAGCTGATTTATATACTTGGGGATTTTGAGTAACAGATAATCCTGGCTGTCTGGAGGTAAACCATAAAAGTGTGCTCACATGACAGTGCTGTCACCTGCAGTGACCCCAACTCCCCGTCAGGACAGCCTGATGAAATTATTCATCAGCTTGGAGCATTGGGTGACCTGGACTTCGCACACCTGGCAGCTCCCCACTGCCTTGGAATCAAACAGCCTCTTCTTTATGTGCAGGCTTGAATACCAGCCATTTTTCAATAGTAAACTCTTAGTAGTAGCAAAGCCATCTGAGCAGTATTTGCTTAAGCTTAACTTATTGAGGAGGAGTTTCAGTTGAAATAGTTTCAAAAGTGTGTTTTGACTTCAGGGCTAACAGACTGCCTTTCTGCATGGCAGTGAAGTCTGATACATGATTTCCACGTTAAACAAGTCAAAGTTTGCTGGCAAATGATAAAAACAGGAAGTATAGGTTGTTAGAGGTGATTTGGGATTTTCCATGAGAAATGAAAACCAAAGATCTGTACAAAAATTCATTATTTCACTTCAGTTATTTTCCTGTAGGTTTTTCAGACAAAGAGGCCTCATAGAAGGGCAGGGACTGCTATCCTGGCTTACTCAGAGCAAGGGCTGTCATCTTTTTCTTTGACTTTCCTGTTCATGTTTTACACTGTGTGTTTATAGCCTCGTTAGTTCGTGGTCCGTGTTCTCAACGATGATTAGAGATTTGATCCTCTGTCTCCCAGACTCAGAGACTGTGTCCCCATGCACCTCCCCAGTAGCAGGATGCCCTAATATGTAGGAAACCACAGAGAGGAAGCAAGAGGGTGTGGGGACTTTCAGTGGGCAGCTGTGGTCCAAAGCCCACCGTGCATCTCTTTAGAGCAGGACAGGCAGGAGCCTTAGAGAAGTGGTTTGAAAAAGCAAATCCTTCACAGAATTTATACAAAACAGCCTTGTGTTGCTTAGATCCCTGTTAAAGGAGTCCCAGTCACAGCAGGCAGAAATAGCAGAAGGAAAGAAGCCAAGCAGCCACTTCCTGTGATGCCTGTTAGGCTGCACTTCCCACTCTCATTTTTTTCAAAATATTTTAGCCAGTGCCTCCAGCCTTTACTGAGGCATGTTTGTTGGTTTTGTTTTAATCCTAGTGTCGTTTATATGACCTTCGTGCAGACAGAGAAGTAGCAATTTATTCCAAAGAGAGCATCATTTTTGGAGCATCCAGTGTGGACTTCTCTCTCAGTGGTGAGACTTGAACTTTGGAGGTTATCTTAGTGTCGAGATTTGAGGGGAACTGAAAAATTTTTCAGTTTAATTTCATAAAGCATTTGTTATTAAAAGTTAATAACAAAAAATAATAAGTGCCAAAAGAAACATTTAATGCATGGAAGCTTTTTTTTTTTTCCCCTCTGTAAAAATAATTACTCTTTAAATAACCTAGCTGGCTACTGCTTCGTTGTAGTGATGAAAAGTATTTTCCTGGCCCTACTGAAGGCAGGAAATATTTTACCATTAACTACAGCTGGGCTAGAATTTCACAATAATGATGAAAAACATTTCGAAGGAAACATGAAATGCAACTAAACTATTAAGCTCGCTTGCATAAATAGTTTTTAAAAGGCTAATAAATGATTAATAGTAAAAATATGTTAGAGGGGCATGAAGAAAGAGACGTTACCACTTTTCACTACAGATCCTGAGGCGTGAGCTCGGGTCTTCTCTCTGCCGCCCCAGCACAAATGCAGAGCTCCCCCAGTAACCCTGGGTGGGGATGAGTGGGTGGTGAACTGCCCTCTCTCCGGGACTGAGGCAAATGCCTCTGTCACGGTCATGAGCACCCCAACTCGTCCCGTTAGCAATGAATCACTTCCCAAATTGCCTACTAATCATTCAGCCACTTATATTTAACTTCTTGTGCCAAGACTGAGCAAAGTATTATGACCCTGCAATAGCTGTTGAATTGCTCTTCAGTCTGTCACGATTGAGAGTCATCTCCCATCTGTAATGACTGAAGACGTTCTGTGTAATTTAAGTAAAATGTGCTGTGTTTGTAACTCCTTAATTTTAATTGTTTCAGCATTTAGTATGGCCAGCTCAGCGGCGGGGCAGGGCTGTCCCACAGGAGCACAGCTCGTCTGGGGGGAGCAGCGGCCAGAGGAAAGCGGGGTTGTGTCTCACGGGGGGATGAATGTCTTGCAGAAGGCTCTTGCTGCAGTCAAGGCACGTTAAGACCTCACTGTGTAAAATCTCATTCGCTCTGTAGGTCGCCTGCTGTTTGCAGGCTACAATGATTACACCATAAATGTCTGGGACGTGCTGAAAGGGTCCCGCGTATCCATCCTGTTTGGACATGAAAATCGCGTCAGCACCTTGAGGGTGTCTCCCGACGGGACGGCGTTCTGCTCAGGCTCCTGGGATCACACGCTCCGAGTAAGTGCTGGGAGCACCCACTTTGAGTGCTTCTTTGTTTCTTTGAATGGTTAATAGAAGGGGGCGAGGGGGAAGGGTTGTTACAGGATAACTATGTCTAGAGGACCTAACGAGGGTATAAAAACGGTGTAAAGCATGAACGGGAAAGTCTGATAAAAATCCCCACAAAGTGCTAGCAGAACTGTTAAGTTTTGGACTCATGGGTTAAAAATATCACTGCTGCTGATACTCTGTACCGCTCACCTGATTGCCTTGCCAAATTTTAATTAAACGTTTGATGGAAGAGTCACTGGCACAAACGATTGTTCAACTTTCTACAGATCTGGGCTTAACCTGAGATCCTGCTTGCGGAATCAAATGAAGACTGAAACCCTGGACTAGAAAAAACTGCATAAAGAAGCCGTTCCTCAAAATCAAATAATCACTACATTACAAAAGAGTGACACTGAACCAACAGATTAAAACAACTAGGTAGAAAATATAGTCTGCTTGAACACATAGCAAACATCAACTTGTAGTAGAACGAAATGGTTTAAATTCTGTTTTGAAACAATATTCTTTTATTAGAAATAGTTTAGTTAATTATAAAGGGACTTTTCTGCAAAGTCTCCTGTATCATAGAATTGACTATTTCAGTGCACATTGTGTATTTATTTGCATGAACTGAGTTTCTTTTTAAAGTAAAAAAAAAAAAAAGTCCTGATTTTATCAGGGTGTAGCATAAGGCTTTGGAAACATTCCGTAGTAGCATATTGAATTTTAGTGTTGAAAAGTGGAAAGAAAAACAATTCTGATACTTTATGATGGTGTTATGGATGACTGAACCTTGGTGGTATAGAGGAGCAAAGGACCTACTGTGAAGGTACTGGCTGCTGTCATAAAAATGTATTTTTTTGTACAGAAAAGAAATTCTTCCAATCCCTTTTTTTTCTACTATCTTTTTAGATAGAAATAAGTATTTCATCTCTGTTACCTAAATATAAAGAATCTAAATATATACAAACTGATAAACGGCAAAGAGGAGGGATATAAACATGATTTACGTAATCATGAGGTAATACTTAACCAGTAGTTTCTTAGAAATTTTTAATTGTATCACTTGGTGAGTGAATTTTCTTTTAATTAAAAAAAATACTACATGCTAAGCACTAAGGGATGCTACATGCTAAGCATTAAGCACCATTATACCGATGGTCAAATCTTTTCCGAGTCAGTCATAGTCGTTCTATGATCATGATTCTTATTTGCATTTTGAGCAGTTCATACCACTTTGGCAGGGCAATGTAGCTTAAACGTATATTAAGGCAGTATATCCCATTTTAAGGTCCTTCTGCAATATCAGAGCAGTGTAAGTTCATGCAAATGTGGGTCAAACCTTAAAAACCAAATCATACAGTTCTTAATTTTAACAGTCATCTCCCACTGCCACGGACTTGAGAATCAATAACAGTGAGTTGTTGAAAACCTGGTGTGAGCCACAGTCCTGCCGATGTTTGATGCTGTGCTGAGCAGAGCACATGAGCCCATCTGATCCAGGAACCGCTGGGTTTCAGGGAAGCAGGACAGCTGTTCACACTGCTGGCAGCACCCAGCCCTCTGTGTGAGCATGGGAATGCCACACAAACTGGCAGCACCACCCCCTGCAGAGCTGATGCTGTAGAATCGAGATTTAATTAGGTAAATGTGAGAATTAATTATAGAACCATATCTGCATTTATATGCATTGAAAACTATAGAGACTATAGTGTGTCAGCTCTGCTCATACCAACAGGTACTGAGTCTGACTTGAGCAGAGGCATAGAGGGAGCAAAGGGCTGCAATAATGCTGGGGGCTTGCATAGTCTGGCCTTTGAAATGCAAGTGGTGAGATCCAGCTCTGAAAATATCAAATATATGATTCATATTTAGATTGAAACAAGAGAAAAGAAGCTCACTGATCACTGGAGTTGTAAGTTTGATGATAATATCCTCATTCTATTTGAAAGTGGAATTTTTTTTAGAAAAAAATCATATAAGAAACAAAAGTCTCCTCATTTATGAAAACATTAGGTTCTGTGAATCCATAACCAGTAAATCTAGGACACTGACATTTATCTCAGCCTTCCATCCCTAATGGAATAGTTCAGCTGTTTTCACTTGGAAAAGTCAACTCTGATGCTTTGCAATATTTGTGGCAAACTATCCCTGTAACAAACTGAATGCACTATGGAAATGTCATATAGAGCTCACTGTGCAATATTGAGTCAAAACACTGTACACATTTGATCAAAAGATTAATATTAATGTTTAGATAGTATTTATTGGCGAGATGTTTGTTTCAAACATACTGCGTTGTGTTGATACTTATGAACAGCCTAAATACAATAAATTGTATTTTACATATTGAGAACATGTATGTAGTAGTTTTTCCCAGCCATTAGGAACTTGCAATGGTAGCTATGTTTTGTTGGTTTTTTTGCTTTTTTTGACATTCACTTTTTGTACCATATAGCTCCTTAGATCATTTTTCCTGCAAAATCTAGGGCAAAGCCCAGATCTACCAGAAAATCGCTTCTGGAATATTTTCTGGAAATACCCAAGGAGAGCCACAGCAACTGAGAGCGAGCAGTCCTTGAAAGTACCTGAAACACCGTCTGAGCTCCCCCTGCATTCAGGACGCCAGAATTCAGGTTGTTTTCCTGCTCAGAAGGATCACAGCTAATGTGATGTTTTCTTTCCAGATCCTTATCTGGAAAATGCAGAGTATGTGTTTGTGGGTGCATAGGATTCTCCTCGAGTTGCAGTGGGATGCCAGAGAAAGCTGGTTGCTGAAATGCTGGGGCTGTCACTGTTTGGGTGAACCAGATGTGCAGATCACCTTGAGGTGCAGCAGTTCAGCTTTCTGCCTTGTCAAGAGAGAACTGTGCTGGGGCCAGCTGTCCTCTCCACCTCAGTGTAGAATTTGTGGTCAGCATGAAGGTGCTTGGTGGAAGTCCTCAGTTTAGACACTGAAAAAAAGCACCTCCTTAATTTAGGTGCATTGTTTCATTTCCTCTCCTCTGAGGGGCTGGGGAAAGTGCTGAGCCAGCTTGTTCTGAGTGACATCAGTGCTCAAACTGTGACCAGATCCAGTGAGAATGAGGCTGACATCGCATCTTGCATTGGTTCTTACACGGAAAAATCCTGTGGTTCTTTCACTTCAGGGCCACTGCCTATGGACTTGTGTAGTGGGCTGCATGGTCTTGCCACCTGTGAAAAATCACCTTTTTTGTTCCTGAGATAGTGGTGAAAGCATGAAACAGGACAGGCCTCAACTTCCCATCAGATAAATGACTCAACTTCCCATCATAAATGACAGACAAACGACAGATAGAGGAACAGGACACTGAAGTACCCATTGTATTTCTTACTTGTTAAAGACTGGCCAGGGAAGATTTGGAAATCCCAGCACTTTGAGACCCCCCCTTAGTCTGTCAAGCTATTTATGTCAGAAACACCTCTATTCCATAATATGGAGAGAAGGGAGCTATAGCTGGGGCAGTCACTATCGGACGGCTCCGTCCTGTTAAACAAAAATGCTATATAAACAGGAAGGGTGGAAGAGGATATTGCTAGAGAAAGAGCAGCCTCTCCCTCTTGCTCTCCTGCTGTGAGGAATGCAATAGGAAATTCCTGCTCCAGGATTAACAATCGTAAGGAAAAATAGTTTAAAAAGCATGTGTGTAAAGCTCTTGTGAAAAGCAAAGATATCATTCCAGCTACTGCTCTAGCACATAAACACGGATTGTATTTCCCTGCTTCAAAACAAAACAAAAGCCAAATACGGGGATGAAAAACTAAGAGCTTGCCTTAGGAGCGACTCCAATTCTTGACAGCGATCTGAGAAATTGCAACAGGATTGATTCCAACCATCTATTTTTAGGTTTTCTAACAGGGATGTAAAATGGAGACAGCTGTATCTCAATATAGGTGGAATGAAGCCAAGCAGTCCTGTGCTGACATGTTGGTCACCTTGAGCCGGTTGTGGGATGAGAGGTGAGAGTGACCCGGTCCTAGGCAGCTGTGGCAGTGCTTCTCCCACTGCAGGGCTGTGCAGTGACAGTGGGTCACAGCCTCACTTTGCCCCAGGCCACCATCAGAACCTCAGCTGCAAACCAGCACTGGGCAGGAAGCACAGGCTGGATGTACCCTGTGCTGGATCTGCCGTCAGTCTTGGGGTGGTATTTATGGGAGTCCCACCAGTCTGTGAAGCAGCTGATGGTACTGGGAGCTGGAAGGGCACAGCTGGGGTGCAGGCAAGGTGTCTCGCTGAGATAGTGCCATGGTGCTGTGCAAATGACACCAGTGTTGTTCTCAGCCATTTTATTTTACACCAACAGTGTGAAGGGGTCCCCCCTTTGCCCCATGACAGGTCCTAATCCTAAATTTTGCCTATACGCCCATCAAAAAGCAAACACCGCTGCATTTGCTGAGTAAATACACAAGTGCACTCATCCCGTGGTCCTGGAAAACCTGCATCTCCTTTGGTGCAAAAAATACACGTTTGGGGCAGTAATGTGGAAAAAAACCCCACAAAACCCTAAACCCTAAACATATTAAAGCAAGTATTTTGATATGTTAAAAATATATATATTAATACAACCGATATGTATTTATTAATACATTTAACATATATTCAACGCAGAAAGAATCGAGCCTTGCAGAATATACCATCTAAGGAGTCTTTCTGCTGTGTCTTTTGCAACCGGACTTGCCTTTCTCGTATTGGCCTTTTTAGCCACCAACGCGCTTGCAAGAAACGTGGGTAGAGCCCTTCCCAAATCTTCGTTCGCGAAGCCTAACCCATGATGATGATAACATATATTAATATAACCGAGCGTTTCCCTCGGCTGCCCAGAGAGACCCGCTCCACAAGCGCCTCCCGGGGCAGGCGGGCAGACCCTTCTCCGCGGGGGAACGCGCTGGCTCCGCCCCGGAGGAGGGGAGCGCCCGGGCTGGGCCGGGCCGGGCCGGGCGGAGGGGCCGCCCCGCCTCTTAGTCGGCGGCAGCTGCTGCTGCGGGGCCGCCGCCGTGGGCAGCCGCCATGCCGGGCTCTCTGAAGGAGGAGACGGCGCTGCTGCTGGAGGATTACTTCCAGCACCGCGGCGGCGGCGGCGCCGCGCTGCCCCCCAGCCCCACGGCGGCCGCGCTGCGCCGGGCGGCGGCCGAGCTGGAGCGGCAGGAGCGGCCCTTCTTCCGCTCGTGCGCGCCGCTGGCGCGGGCCGAGCCGCGGGAGGCGGCCGCGCTGCTGGGGCGGGTGGCGGCGCAGCTGGAGGCCGACGGCGGCCTCAACTGGGGCCGGCTGCTGGCGCTGGTGGTGTTCGCGGGCACGCTGGCGGCCGCGCTGGCCGAGCGGGGCTGCGGCGACGGGCCGCGCTGCCTGGCCGCGCACCTGGCCGCCTACCTGGCCGAGGAGCGGGGCGAGTGGCTGGAGGCGCACGGCGGATGGGTGAGCGGGGACGGGGGCGGCCTGGGGGTAGGTGCCGGGAACCCTCGCCCCCCTCGCCGGTTAGCGGGGCATGGGGCGGTCCCCCGGCGCCGTGCGGCGGTGGGGTACGGCCGGGGGGGACGTGCCGGGGTCGCTGCCGGCGATGGGCGTGCGCTGCACCGGGCGGGACCAGCGGAGCATCCCCGGGGGCTGCTGGCTCCAGCGGCTCTTGGTGGGTCAGCGAGGGGCCCGGGGGTGCCCTGTTCTGCGGCTCAGCCGGATCCCTCGGGGTGCAGCCTCCTGGAACCGCAGGAGTGATGCTGCTGGCTTGGGGGGGGGGCGAGGTTTGCCTTCCCCCTTGGGTCCGCAGCCTGCGGATGTCGGTGAGCAGGCTACCACAGGTCCCTTCCCAGGTGTTAGCAAAAACCACCCATGTGCCTGTTCTTAAATACACCTGTGCGTGGAGGCACTCACCCGCCAGGCCTGCGGCTCTTGTTCCTGCTTGTCCCGAAGCCGGTCAGGTCAGGTCGGGCCCGGGGAAGGTGTGGACTTTTCTGCCCCTCGAGATGCACACTGAAGGTAGGGTTTTTAAGGAGTCCGTGCAGCTTTGCCTGCGTTTCTGCACAAAATGTCAGCTATCCCGCAGAACTGTCCACATTTCCTATTTTCAGTCCTAGTGGAATACTTGATGTCAGTACAAATAAGCACTAAAAATAGAAAGGAGGGGAAGCAGCCACTGGTTTCGTTGACTTTTCCAGAGACCAAAATGAACTTGGTTTTCCAGTGGTCACTGGTCCATCTGACTGCTCAGAACAGTGTGGTCGTTGGCTGCAGTGCACACTGTCACTTGGCAAAATCGCACTGCCTGTTCGCACAAATTAAAGTGTAAAGAACAAAGTTCCGGAAGAAATTAAGAATATAACTTGTTTACATAGACATCTGCGGAGCAGAGTTCAAACACGACCATCTGGAGTTGTATTGCTGCCACTTCTGATTATCACAACGATCTGGGAGAGCAGCTGCCAGCTTTGCTCTGTCATAGGTCAGCTCTGAGCAGTGTCCACCCGGCGCTTCCAAGAGAGTGTGTAATCAGTCCTGTGTCCACCGAAATGGGACCAGCTTGGGCACACTGTCTCTCTGAAGTGGAAATTTCCATATCCTGTGTTTCAGATGCTTTCTGAAACTCAAGGGGGAACAATGCTGGCAGCTTCCGTCAGAAACTTGCCTAAAAGGGCAAAAATAATGTAATGATAGGCCGAGCATCTCGATAGGAAGTTTGCAATTGTCTGTTGAGCAAATGCTTGTAGCTCCTTCTTTCAGTTGCCTCGTGCAAGGGCTCTCACAAAGCATTTTTGTGTGTACCCAAGGCAGTGGGCTTAGACTTCCACGATTAAAACAGAGGTTTCCGCAGCCGACAAAAGCTGTGCTGGGATCGCGAACCAGACTGTACCCAAAGGCTTGTTAAAAGGAATCCAGTTAATCGCAAGCCGAGCACAACTCAATGTCCTTTCTCTTGCTGTTCTAGGATGGCTTCTGTCGCTTCTTCGGCAGGCCCGGCTCCGAGGCGGCTGAGCAGAGCAGCACCATTGGCAATGCCATCATGGCAGCCGCGGCGGGGATTGGGATGGCAGGATTGGCTTTCCTCTTGGTGCGGTAGGCCGATGAACGGATCTTGCCACGGGAAAGTACTCTCAAAACTGACAATTTACCAGATTTCACTTTATTTTCTATAGAACAGACCCTCTAAGAAGAAGTCTATATTTTTAAACTGGCTCAGAAAAACTGCCTCACCAAATCCTTGGCTATAAACTGCTTCACTCGCTACCCAGTAACAGCACAAACAAATGTGTACTAGAGCACTATTTGTGCGTGTTTAAAACCTGTTGTCTCCAAACATCCTCTGGACTTTCTTTTTGAAGGTGTAACCTAAACTATAGCATGGTTC